GACTGGGGAACATGATACAGCCCTGGGCAGGTTCTTTGCCACATATGGGTTATGGGTGAGGTGACCTGGCTTGTGTGTAGCCCTTTTCTTCAACTTCTTTGCCTGTAAATTGGGTACAGTTGGACTTCTCTCAAGCTAGCCACTCATGGAAATGAAATGATGATAGAAATACCCACCAGAAATATTAGTTACAATTTCCTGAGAATTGACAATGTGCCGAGTCCTGTGCCACACAGTTATAAACACTGCCCACTTTATCTTCACAATACCGTGAAGTGGGAACTATGATTGTACCCATTTGGCAGATGTGGAAACTGAGGCTCTAAGAGGCTAACTGAGCTGCTGTAGTCCTGCAGCTGAGAGGAGAGCCTGATGGAAACTGTGGGCTCTCTCGGCCCTGCTCAGCCCAGTCCTGCCCTCATCACACACCTGACCATGGAGCATCATTGTTTTAATGGCAACACAACCCAGCTATCCATTCACAGGGGATTGAGTAAATAATTCACATGACTTTACACAGTGAAAATTGCTGCAGCAATTCAAAAGAACAAGGCAGGCTGGGCTTGGTGCTAATGCCTGTGATCCCAGCACTTTGGGAGGCCGAGGTGGGAGGATTGCTTGAGGCTAGTAGTTCAAGACCAGCCTGAGCAACATATGAGACCTTGTCTCTAACAGGAAAAGAAAATAAAAAAATTAGCCATGGTGGCATGTGCCTGTGGTCCCAGCTACTCCGGAGGCTGAGGCAGGAGGATCACTTGAGCCCAGGAGTTAGAGGCTGTAGTGTGGTGAGCTATGATCACCACACTGCACTCAAGCCTCAGTGGCAGAGCAAGACCCTGTCTCAAAAAATAAAATAAAATAGAAAAGAGCAAGGCAGCCCATGTGCCCCTCCCTATAGGGAACAATTTCTAAGGCATGCAGTTGACACGTGAGCAGGTTTGAACTCTGCAGATCCACTTACATGTGGAGTTCTCTCTTGCTGACTGCAGAACTTGAGTATGCAAGGATTTTGGTAAACAAAGGGGTCCCAGAGCCAATCCCCTGCCTAAACCAAGGGACAACTGCCTTGTCAAGGGAAGAAAGCATGGGCCTGGCGCAGTGGCTCACGCCTGTAATCCCAACACTTTGGGAGGCCAGGGCTGGGGGATCACTTGACCCCAGGAGTTTGAGACCAGCCTGGGCAAAGTGGCAAGACCCTGTCTCTATAAAAGAATCAAATATTAATAATTTTTTAAAAAGAGAGAGAGAAGAAACCAAGGAACAGAAATCAGCTGTTTTGTTTTGTTTTGTTTGTTTGTTTTTGAGACAAGTTTCGCTCTTGTTGCCCAGGCTGGAGTGCAATGGCATGATCCCGGCTCACTGCAACCTCTGCCTCCTGGGTTCAAGCGATTCTCCTGCCTCAGCCTCCCAAGTAGCTGGGATTACAGGCATGTGCCACCACGCCCGGCTAATTTTGTATTTTTTAGTAGAGATGGGGTTTCTCCATATTTCCAGGCTGGTCTCAAACTCCTGACCTCGGGTGATCCACCCACCTCGGCCTCCCAAAGTGCTGGGATGACAGGCGTGAGCCACCGCACCTGGCCCAGAAATCAGTTTTAAATGAGCCCTTTTGGAGGCTTTTTTAAATGTGTAACGTGACACTAATTTTACTTAAATTTTTATTTTTATTATTTATTTATTTTTACTTTTTTCCTGTTGAGGGAAAATTCCCATAACAAAACTTATACAGGGGCTGAACCCTTTCTAGAAGATGAACACACCAAATGAACCCCAGCAGCTTCTGGGGAGATGCGGTCCTTTTCTTTCTACTGTACGTGCTTCTCTTGTGTTTCGTTTTTATCACAAGAAAAATTGCTTTTGTTAGAAAAATTAATACAGGGCTGGGTGCGGTGGCTCAAGCCTGTAATCACAGCACTTTGGGAGGCCAAGGTGGGTGGATCACGAGGTCAAGAGATCGAGACCATCCTGGTCAAAATGGTGAAACCCCGTCTCTACTAAAGATACAAAAAATTAGCTGGGCATGGTGGCGCATGCCTGTAATCCCAGCTACTCAGGAGGCTGAGGCAGGAGAATTGCCTGAACCCAGGAGGCGGAGGTTGTGGTGAGCCGAGATCGCGCCATTGCACTCCAGCCTGGGTAACAAGAGCAAAACTCTGTCTCAAAAAAAAAAAAAAAAAAGAAAGGAAGAAAAAAGAAAAATTAATACAAAAAGCAATGCATGTCCAATAAAGAAATTTAATATAGAAATGAATAAAGAAGGAAATTTAAAATATCCAAACGACCCGCCCTCTGGAGACACGCCCTGGCAATATGGTGGGGTACGCCTTTCTTCTCAGCGAACGTGATTTCCTGCCAAGGGGAACGTTCTCAGGCCGCTGTGGGGTCCCCCTGAAGCCCTCCCACACATCTCCTGAGAAACACACACGGCTCACAGACTGTGAGAGGGAACCACCTTTGCTCTAACATTTCCACTGAAGAAGCGCACTCTAAGGAAATAACTGAATACTCAGACAGTGCAGAAAGGCTACAAGAACGGTGGCTACATCGCCATTTCTAATTGGGGAAATCGCCGAAATGCGTATTAGTAGGGAAATGGTTGGATAAAATCTGAGACATCTGTGAGATGGAACATTCTACAACCATTTCAGTAATGATGTGGATCAACACTTACTGACATGCAATGATTGCCTTGATATATTATTACACAAATAAGTGGTTATGAAACCGTATGTATGGTATGATCCCAATTCTTGTAAAAAATGTACGTAATATATATATACACACACACACGTGTGTGTGTGTGTGTGTGTGTGTGTGTATGCTTAAAACAGACCACAAAAATATATATCACCATGTTACCGGTTTTTTCTGGGAAGAGGGATAAGAAGTGATATTTTTCTTTTCTAATGTCTAATTTTCCCATAGTAAACGGATATTATTTTGCACTTTTTAAAACTAAAAACTAATAACATGCTAGCACAGTCTCACCTCGGGCCTCTGCCCTGGCAGCTTCCTCTGCCTGAAATGCTCTTCCCCAAATATTCTCCACTTTCTTCGTGTCTTTGTTCAAATGTCGTTTTCTCCAGGAGGCTTCCTGACCACTGAAGACACCATGTAAAACTGTGTCTCGGCTGTGCACAGTGGCTCATGCCTATAATCCAGCACTTTGAAAGGCCAAGGCAGGAGGATGGCTTGAGGCTGGGAGTTCAAAACCAGCCTGGGCAAAAAATGAGACATTATATATTACAAAAAAATTTTTTTAAATAGCTGGGCATGATGGCACACACCTGTGGCCCCAGCTACTCGAAGGCTAAGGTGAGAGCTTCGCTTGAGCCCAGGAGTTCCAAGCTGCAGTGAACTACGATGGTGCCACTGCTCTCCAGCCTGGGTGACAGAGAGAGACCCTGTCTCAATAAGGTATATTTAAAAATAATGTGTGGATCTCTCTCTTCCTCCCTTTTGTCTCTGTCTGTCTTCCCTCTTACCCTGTTTCATTTTCCTATTTTACTCCATAGAAGGTATCAACTTCTAACCTCCTAGGTTGCTTGCTTATTTATTAGGTCTGTTATCTAGGACCTCCTGCCCAAAGGACTGATCCAGGAAGGCAGGAGTTGGAATTTGTGTGTTTTGTTCCCTGTTGACACAGATCAGGGCTTGGCACACAGTAGGAGCTTGGCACTGTAAATATTTGAGTAATTAATGAATGAATGAAATCTAAACAAGCAAATGGTTTTCCTTTCTGAAGACTTTGTTCCATCCTCACTCTTCTGATTTTCAGAAGTAGCGGCACGGATGAGACAGGTCTGGCTGGGCTGGCGGGGGACAGGTGGGAGGAAAGCTGTCCCTCGCCTTCTCCAGATTCCTTCGCCAGCGGGAAGCCGAGGCTTCGCGGAGCCCTAAAGTAGCACCGCCCCCTGCTGGGAAATTTGGAGAACTGCAGTGCGGACGCTCAGCCCTTGGGCCAGATACATTTCAAACAATTACACCTGGAAATTTGGAAAGGAACAGGATGGAAAGGTCACTGGGGGGGGGGGGGGGGTGAAGCAGCCAGACGGGTCTATGGGAGGCCTTTTCAGAAAGGAAGAGGAGCCAAGAAAAAAATGGAGCCCATTCTCTCAGCTGCAGGTCCCTGATTCAAGCAGAGTCCGCCTCTCAAAATGGATGGGTTTCTCCTGGTAAGGCCAAGAGTGACCTTGATAGAAATCAGCTGCAATTCAAGGCTAATTCTCAGGGATCTGGATTTGGAACTTCTGGTTTCCCTGGGTTTCCTCACAGGTTTTGTGGTTAGCACATATCCTTTTATCAAACCCACCCCACAAAACCAGAATTTCAAACCAAGTTTCTACCCAAACTGTCAACAAATGTGCACATGCAGTTTCAGAAAGAGGAAATGTGTGGGTGTGTTAGTCCATTTTCACACTTCTATAAAGAACTACCTGAGACTGTGGAGTCTATGAAGAAAAGAGGTTTTATGGAGTCACAGTTTCGCAGGCTTAGCCGGCAGTGTGACTAGGAGGCCTCAGGAAACTTACAATCATGGTAGACGGCAAAGGGGAAGCAAGCACCTACTTCACAAGGTGGCCGGAGAGACTGAGAGAAGCAGCCAGCACTCTCATGAGAACGGCACGGGGAGGGGAAGGTCTACCCCCATGATACAATCACCTCCCACTAGCCCCCTCCCCTGACACGTGGGGATTACAATTGGAGATGAAATTTGGGTGGGGACATAGAGCCAAACCCTATCAATTAGCCAAGTCAAGATTGTTCATTGACTCAACATTTTTACTGTGCATTTACTGTGTGCCAGGCGCGGTTCTGGGTGCCGGGGCTACAGCAGCAAAAAAGACAAAAACCTCAGCCTTTAAGGAACCAGGATTACAGTAAAGGGGCAAGTGCCTGACGCATGAATAAATGGAGACGTCTAACTGAACACTAAGGTAAGTGCCCTGAAAGAGAAATCCAACGTGCTACAAAATAGAGAAAAAAAGACCAGACTTCAGTTTTGGGAATCCGCACTGAAGACATGAGATTTAATCTGAAATCCTCTCCCAGGAGCCAGGGGCAGTCTACGGGCAGAAAGGAATAGCAAGGGAGAAGCTGTACGTTTCCAGGCTCTTCATCTTCATTCAGTATCTCCCCAGAGAGGAATAGCTTGTCCTTTTAGTAGATGCTTGCTCTGTAGTACAAGGACAACATAGGAGTCTAGAATCAGAGTCCTGGGTTTGAATCCTGACTCTGCCCCCTTCTTAGTTTCTACTGCCTCTGTCCCTTAGAGTTATTATAAGGATTTAATGAGATAATAGAGATGTAGATATGGACGAGGCGCCTGGCAAATAGTCAATAAGCAGTCGCCATCACCATTAAAGGCTCTAAGAAGTTCTGCAGCTGGGGAACCTATTCAACTAGACTCACCCTTTGGCTATAGAAGCTTTTTTTTTTTGAGACAGAGGCTCGTTCTGTCACCCAGGCTAGAATGCAACGGCGTGATCTCGGCTCACTGCAACCTCTGCCTCCCAGGTTCAAGAGCTTCTTCTGCCTCAGCCTCCCGAGTAACTGGGATTACAGACGAGTGCCACCACGCCTGGCTAATTTTTGTATTTTTAGTAGAGATGAGGTTTCACCATGTTGACCAGGCTGGTCTTGAACTCCTGACCTCAAATGATCCACCCACCTCCAGCTCCCAAAGTTCTGGGATCACAGACCTGAGCCACTGCGCCCGGCCTATAGAAACGTTTTGTCGCAGGACACTGTATGCGCCAGCATATATATTGGGGAAATATGACTTCAGTTATTGGGGGTGTGGGTGGAGCAGACATTATTCACTGCCTGCCCCAAGTCCATTTGCTGTCTTTTTTCTTGCTAATAGAATTCTGGTTAAGTTCAGGATTAGGCCAAAGAACCTTGCATCTCAAAGCAGGTAGGCTGGACTTGGTCTAGATGTGGGCACCTTACCTTGTTCTGGCCAGTGAAGTGTATGAAAAGCCTCCTAGGAGCTTCCCCATGAAGATATTGTCCTCCCTGAGCAGTGAAGAAACACCAGCACCTGACCCCTACCCCCACCCCCAGTGACATCCCACAGCCTTTGCTTTGAATGTAGTGCCATGAGGACAGGGACCTTGGCTCTACTGCCACCAAGGGGGAACACCCACAGAGTCACCGAGACAGCTCTGGGGTCCACGATCATGTCCAGCTGCTGAACAACCCTGAAACTGTCTGTTCCACAACTCCTTAGGAGAAAACTCACCCCCGTTGGATTAGGCTGCTGCTAATGGACGCCCATCACCTGCATCCCAGAACATTCCTCACGGCTCCAGGGTCCCAGTCCTCTGTTCCAAATTAAAATCATCCTGGTTTTCTCCATTCGTCTACATATTCTGTTTCACCTTGAGGACAGTGTCTGGGCATCGTTCCAGGCAGCCCATACCCCTCCCTGGGGCTGTTCCCTTTGTAAAACCATGACTCACCTCCGAGGCCCTTGCTGGCCACACACCTTCATTCCCGAAAGGATTCCAGGAGCCATCTCTTTGTCTTTCTCCTCTCTCCTGTCTATTTTTGTCCTTTGTGAAATGCCCTGGCCCCCTACGAGGATACAGCAGTATTAGCACACCCTCCCCCTTAATCCCTCGGGCTCCTGTTCCCTTGTCCAAAGTCACCCAAAAGAACAGGGCCAGTCTAACTTTTTCTGGCTGGCTTTTCCTGGGGGAAATGAAACTGTTTTACTGTGTGTCCCAACCCCAAAAGTCTCTCCGATTTTCTTTACCACACATGACCCTAGAACTTCTTTCTGTCTCAGAGGACACCTACAAAGGAGGAATAGCAAATACATAGCAAGTGGCAATGACATGCATGCCACCCTTCCTTCACCCAGTCCATGGCAGACATTGCTAATCAATCACCACACTCCTTCTTACTGAGTGGAATTGGCAGGGGAGATAAGCTGAAAGGTCAGGACCTCTATGACGTGGCTGGAGACAGGGGATAAAGAGTAAAGTTCACACTCACCTCAGGAAGACTGTCCTGAGGCCTGACACCCTCATTCTCTCTTAGCCAGAGGGGACCTAGCTGTCCTGGAGAGCCGTGGGCAAGCAGGGTGAGTGTGCAAGGATCAATGTCTTCAGCCCTGGAGACAGAGCGCAGAGAGCTGTTCATAGGCCCTTCCCGCCTGTGTCCTGGATCAACTCCAGGATCATCTTTTGTCCTGACGGAATTCAGTTCCATGGAACAAATCTATCACGATCACCCACAGTGTGCCAGGACCGAGGGCCCTTCTAGTGGAAGAAACAGAATAACAGCAATGAAGCAGAATGCAGGAAGTGCCATACGAGAGCAGCCATTCAGCAAGGGCTGACGCAGTGCCCGCTATATGCCAGGCGCTGGGCTGAGAGCGGGAGAAGCAGCGGTGGGCAAGATAGGCATGGTGCCTGCTCCGTAGGTATGGTCCAAGCAGAAAGTTGGGTGTTCATCAGCTAATCAGACAAAAAAAAGTAGAATGCAGCTGTGGCTCAACACCGGGAGGGAGAAAGGAACGCAGCGCTTGAGGGGCCGGGTCTGGAGATTGGGGAAGAATAAACAAAAGTTCACCATACCAGTGGTTCTCAAGTTGGGGCAGTTTTGCCCCCACACCCAGGGAACACATGGCAATGTCTGGAGACGTCTTTGGCGGTCATGACTGGGTGGCATCTGGTGGGCAGAGGCCAGTGAGGCTATTCCACATCTTCCGAGACACAGGACAGCCCCACAGCAAAGAATGACATGGCCCAATGTCACTGTGCCTAAGGTGATAACCCCCATCCAGACAAAGAGGGGAGGAGGGTGGTCCAGGCAGATGGAAGAGTCTGCATCCTGGGAGAGTGGGTAGCCATTTAAACATGAGGGTGGCTGGGCACGGTGGCTCACCCCTGTAATCTCAGCGCTTTGGGAGGCCCAGGCAGACGGGTCACCTGAGGTCAGGAGTTTGAGACCAGCCCCGCCAGCATGGTGAAAACTGTCTCTACTAAAAATACAAAAATTAGCCAGGCGTGGTGGTGCACACCTGTAATCCCAGCTACTCGGGAGACTGAGGCAGGAGAATTGCTTGAACCTGGGAGGTGGAGGTTCACCCTGAGCGCCAGAATGAGATTCGTCTCAAAAAAAAAAAGAAGGTGTAGGTGATGACCGAGCTGGGTGTTTTTTTCCTTTCACGTCCTTCTGGCTGATGTGCAGCAAGGGTGAAAGCACAGACCAGGAGAGTGGGTGTAGGGGCGTGGCCTGGGCAGCGCGTGCTCACCGCAGGCCTGAAGACCAAGTGTGGACACTCAAATGTGGAGTTCTGAATTATCATGGCCACTTGGGGCTGGGCATTGTACACACTGAATTAAGACTATCTGGGGCTGGGCGCAGTGGCTCATGCCTGTAATCCCAGCACTTTAGGAGGCTGAGGTGAGCGGATCGCTTGAGCCCAGAAGAGCTCAGGAGACCAACCTGGGCAGCATAGCAAGCCCCATGTCTACAAAAAATGCAAACAGTCGCTGGGCGTGGTGGTACACGCCTGTAGTCCTAGCTACTTGGAAGGCTGATGTGGAAGGATTGCTTGAGCCCAGGAGGCAGAGGTTGCAGTGAGATGAGATGGCAAAAACACACTCCAGCCTGGGTGGCAGAGCAAGACCCTCTCTCAAAATAAAAAAGACTATTTTGGACTCCATGACCTTAAGGTTCTCCTTTTCCCTAAGAGTGAGCAGAGAAATCCTGACTTTTCATCTAAGAACAAGCACAGATTCCCTCCACCCCCCACCCCAGAACAGAATTATGAAGAAGGAAGCTGTGTTTTGCTCAACGTGATCTCGAGCCAGCCTCACAGCGCCCCCATGAGGTCAGTGTTCCCATCCAACGCATTTTAATGGAAATGGGACCCAGGAACGCCACTGGACCTCTGTCATCAGGCCAGCAAGCAGCAGAGCTGACATTCTAGCCTAGTCCTAACTCCAAATGTCCCTTCTTCCCCAAAGTCCCCAGCCAGGAGACCTCAGGAGGTCGGCGGACTCAGGCATCCCTAAACCATCCTCAAACTCTACTAGCAGGGAACCTGTCTCTCCCTTCCTAGGAGTTGTTGTGTAGGTGGATGGGGCTGAAATTGGGATAATGCATACCTCTCAGGACAGCTGCCACACTGAGGACATTTCTGGATATCACGATTCTGGGGGGCGGGGGAGTTTGCTAATGGCTGCTACTGGCTGGAGGCCAAGGATGCGACTGGACATCCTGTGAAGCATGGGACACCCTCCTCTGCCATCACAAAGAATTGTCCAGCCCCAAACGTCCATAGAGCCCAGGCTAAGCGTGCTACCCCAGAATGGAAGCTCTGCTTCTGTGCTGGGGAGGGGCAGGGGCCTACAGACCTGGGTGTGTGCCGAAGGCTCGTTGAAAGGTCCTTCACCCGACAACCTCAGGTCGGATGACTGATGAGCCAGGAGTGTGGCCTTTATATAGCTCCAGGCCCAAGCATGCGGGACCAGGTTAGGCTGGCCCTGTGCCACGTTCTTCAGCAAGGGGGCTCTGGCAGGCAGGCAGGGGGAAGCTGGTGGGGGTGGCCAGGGCAGCAGCTGTTGCTGGAATCTGGGCCTCATGGAGAGGAACAATGCCCCCGGAATGCCAGGCACTGAGACAGCTGAGCCCACGGGCATCTGAAGGGCACCAGTAAAAATGGGATTGTCTGGGTGCCTCTGTCCCCAGTGCAGGCAAGACAGATGAGGGAGGGCTAAAAATACCAGGGACAAGGAAGCCACTGGAGGGCTGTCTGGATGCTTGAGGCTGGTGGCCCTGAGCTCTGGGATCCTGAGGGCAGTGAGAGCTGGGGCTGGATCCCCTGGCTCTGAAACCAGAATACCACGAAGAGGAAAAGCGTGTATGGAGGAGACGGACAATCTGGGGTCAAAGCCCAGTGCTACCAGGTGCTAGCAGTGGGGCCTCGGGGAGTGACTGCTTCTCTCTGAGCCTCAGTTTCCTCATCTGGAAAATGGGTCCAATATTAGGACCTTCCTCATAGTGTTGTGAGAATTAAATCACACAGTGGGTAAAGCATGTGGCTCAGTGTGTGACGTGGAGGGAGCTCTAGGGAGGGAGGTGACAATGTGATTTCTTTTGGGACTTCAATTTGGTGAGCTGTGCCGTGGCTGGGTGGTGGCCATAGCAGGCAGGCTGCCTCCCTGAGTCCCCTGGAACACTCAATGCATGATAGCTTGTACTCCGCTAGCTCAGAGCAGCTGTCCCCAAGAGCCCTGAATGACGGGCTGGAGGGTGAGATGGGGCCCGGGGTAGGAAATGAAGCCGGGAAGACAACCAGTAATAACCACACACACTCATAAACACACACACACTCATACACACACGGACATACACATAAACACGTACACACACATACACACATACATACTTATACACACACTCATTCACATACACACTCACACATACACACTCATACACACACATAAACACGTACATACACACACTCATACACACAAACACACACACACATGGACATACACAAACACGTACACACACACTCATACACACACATGGACATACACATAAACATGTACACACATACATACGTATACACACATACACACATACATACTTATACACACATACATACTTATACACACACTCATTCACATACACACTCACACATACACACTCATACACACACATGGACATACACATAAACACGTACACACACATACACACATACACTCATACACACAAACACACACACACAGACATACACAAACACGTACACACACACTCATACACATACACATACCTATACACACTCATACACATACACACACATACACATACACACACGGACATCCACATTAAACACGTACACACATACTCATATGCATACACACTCATACACATAGACACTCATAAACACTCATACGCACACGGACACACATAAACACATACACACTCACACATACACACTCATACACATACACATACACACACATTCACATACTCATACACATACACACATACACACACTCATACAAACACACACACTCACACACAGACATACACAAACACGTACACACACTCATACACACACACATACACATACCTATACACACTCATACACAAACACACACATACACATACACATACACACACGGGCATCCACATTAAACACGTACACACATACTCATACACATACACACTCATACACATAGACACACTCATAAACACACACACTCACACATAAACACGTACACACTCACACATACACACTCATACATACACATACTTATACACACATTCACATACTCATACACATACACACATACACACTCATAAACACACACACTCACACACATACACACACTCATACACATACACACATACACACTCACACGGACACACATAAACACGTACACACACACTCAGACATATACATACACTCACACACACTTATACACACTCATACACATACACACTCATACACACAGACACACATAAACACGTACACACACTCACACATATACATACACTCACACACACTTATACACACATACACATACACACTCACACACATAAACGTACACACACTCACACATATACATACACTCACATACACACTTATACACACACTCATTCACATACTCATACACACACACACACACACAGAGTACATGTACTCCATTCCTCGTGCCATGCAAAGCCATTTACACTCATTGCATGAGTAACAACATCGATGGTGCTTGGAACAGAATAAGCACACAATAAATGTTAGCTGCTATCGTTAGCATCACATTTATCTAGTTTCACTTGAACGACACTCTTCCAAGGTGAGCATGACAGTTTTCTCCATTTATCAAGTGAAGACTGAGGTTTAGGGTGGCTAAGTCACCTGTCCAGGGTCCCACAGTCAAGGAAGCAGAGGAACTGACCTGAAAGCCAGCCTACAATCATAACACCATTCTGGTAGGACAGGTCAAGTGCTAAAAGATCTTAGCTGTCAGGCCAAGGAGGGGAGATTTCCTCCTGAGGTAGTGGGGAGCCACTGAGGGTTCTAGAGCATGTGCAGGTCATCATCGGAATGGGGTATAGGAAAAAGGAGTTAGACTCAGAATGTGTGAAGAGCAAGATATAAAGACAAGAGAGGGGAGGCCCCAAACCAGTTGGGAGCTCCCACCATAAGCCAGAGCTGGGTCAGGACATGAGAAAATGGATTTGCAAGACATTTTAGAGGAAGAATAGACAGACTTTGTCACCAGTGGGGCAGAATCAAGATGGCTGAGGATTTTGGTCTGGGAACCTAAGAGAGAGGTGGAGTCACTAATAGGAAAAGGATTTGGGAGAAGAAGAGGAGAGAAAACGAATTCATATTGGAACATGTTATTTCTTTTTTCTTTCTTTTTTTTTTTCTTTTTGAAACGGAGTCTCACTCTGTCACCAGGCTAGAGTGCAGTGGCGTAATCTCGGCTCACTGCAACCTCCACCTCCCAAGTAAAAGTGATTCTTCTGCCTCAGTCTCCCAAGTAGCTGGGACTGCATTTTTAGTAGAGATGGTGTTTCACCATGTTGGCCAGGATGGTCTCGATCTCTTGACCTTGTGATCCACCTGCCTCGGCCTCAAAGTTCTGGGATTCCAGGCGTGAGCCACTGCACCCGGCTGGAACATATTATTTTTTTACCTCCATCTCCACTGACATGGGTGCCCAGCCAATGCTCTGGAATAAGAGCTGGCATTCACTGAACATCACCGTGCCCAGCAGCATTCTAGAACTTTAGAAGTAGTAATTAATTAACTCATTCAAACCTCATAACATTTTGAAGTAAGGACCTCTATTATATATTCCTATTTCACATATGAGGAAACTGAGGCACAGGGAGCTGATGCTGCTTGTCCCATTGGTGCTCTGTACACAAGGGGTGCCCCATTATGTGGCTGACCCATCTCTGCTGGGCACAGGCCTGGTCCACCTACATCTGACTTGTGAGAGAAGCCACCCTCCCCACTTGGCAGCTCTCACTGACGCCTGGGGGCCCTGACACAAGGAGATAGGCTATCACTTGGTGACAAAAGCCATCAGCCACCAAGCTTTGGGCTGGCAGGGCCTGGTATGCCTTTGTTCTATCAAGAGGTAGCTGACTTCACCGCCCTCCTTAAAGGGGACTTACACCCCACGGCAAGTTAATCCACTGTGCCACTTGCTTCCAATGGAAATCATGGTGGGCACTTATGTAACACTCTCCTGTGCCAGGCTCTGTCCTAAATATTAATATATTACTAGATTAACTCTGTAAGCTACTGATATTAACACATATACTTGCACGATCCTCTAGTTTTATAAGACAAACGCATGGAGAAGCTTCCCCTTTGTCCCTTACAATATGGGATGTAAAGGATGAATTCCAGGAGCTAACGTGCAAAAAACCCTGCAGAAGAAACGAATTAAAATATGCCTCCAGCAGGGCTGGACTGAAACCTCTGAAGCCCCAAAGACTGAAAAGACGCTGGCTGTCTCCACCGGATAGTGAAAAAAAGATAAAAACAGCACTAAATGGTCCAGCCAGCAGAGAGCATCCCTCCATGTTCGGGTTTTTTCCCCATGATGACATTTTGACCTTTTAAAAATACATATTAATTGGCTGGGCATGGTGGCTCATGCCTGTAATCCCAGCAGTTTGGAAGGCTGAGGCGGGCAGATCACCTGACATCAGAAGTTTGAGGCCAGCTTGGCCATTATGGTGAAACCACGTCTTTACTAAAAGTACACAGATGAGCCAGGCATGGTGGCACTAGAGCTACTCAGGAGGCTGAGGCACGAGAATCACTTGAGCCTGGGAGGCGGAGATTGCAGTGAGCCAAGATCACACCACTGCATTCTAGCCTGGGGAACAGAGTGAGACTCATATATATATATACACACTTTTCAAAGAAAAGAATAGATTGACACTTTGTCACCGGTGGGACAAAGGAGATATATATATATAACCTTATACCCTTTTCCCAAAAAGTTTGTTGGGTTTCTGTTGTCATTGGCACCTCTGCTGCTCTGGGCATGTATTAAGTGTGCCTGGCTCAGCTGGCGGGGAGGCCACACCGCCACCATCAGTGAGGTAGGGACTGCAAAGTAGGTCTCCAAAGCCCACCACAGAGTGGGAAAGTTCAGGTGGTGGGGCGTATGTGTGCACATGTGTGAGTTATGATACCATTAACATGAAAATGTGTATCTCTGTTTGCATAGTATGACATCATTATTGGAAAAAGTACACATATTGTGTGTGTGTGTGTGTGTGTGTGTGTGTGTGAGAGAGAGAGAGAGAGAGAGTGAGAGAGAGAGAAAGAGAGAGTTGGGAAGGCTAAATGCAATGTGATACCCTGGATTAGATCTTGGAACAGGAAAAGGACCACAGAGGGAAAGCTGGTGAAATCCAAATCAAGCCAGGAGTTTGCTCAATAGTA